TGCGTGTTTCACGTGAGGTTTTGTGAAAAGGGCCCCGTCTTGGAATTGAAACTCTAAAGACGAACTCCAAAAGGGGTTAATAACGTTTTCACTTTCTCATATTCGTTCACACTCAGTAAGTTGCATCTTAGTGGATTTATTGCCTTCCTTGGAATGAAACAACTTTTCAGTATCTCATATATAGATACATAGGTAATGAAATGACTTCTATAAAATATCCAAACAAACTATGAAAACTAATTGGATGTTTAAAATGTTGTTCTATTGTCAGCGTCTTGTTCAATAGGCCATTGAATTTTTCTCCAAAATAACATATACACACAATTCGACTGAATTTGAAATAATACATTGGAATAATACATTCCCCTTCCACTCAGTCTGCATACCCATACCGTGGGTTGAGCAATAAAATATTTTACTAATATTCACCAAATACAAGGCCCAAGGGCCATTCAAGATAGAGGCTTACTGTGTTAAATTTGAAGAGGTTAAGATTTAATTAGTGAATAAAATTTCAGATTTCAGGCGGAGATGTTAGAGGTATAGAGCTGAAGTAGACTTTAGAAGGGACCGGAAACCCAATTCATTTAAGTCATTTTTATGACTCCTGTATTTAAACTGAATATATTTTCTAATAAATATACCAGAGACAAACAATTTAGATTTAATCATCTTACCGCCAGCGAACGGACGGGTACTGAACTCATATTATGATTTTTTTTTTTTTTTTTAAGTGAAAAGGGAGAAAAAAGGAGGACGTTTTTAAGAGGTCGAGTGTCGATTTTAAACCGTAATAGAAGATTATTTCTCTTCGACACCTCAATTTGCTTTACGGTTTAATTACTAAAGCAAGTTAATCTGAACACTTAAAAGATGATTATGAATTTGGATTAAAGTCCAGCTTCGTAATTTGATATATTGGGTGAGCAGAGGAGAGGGAATGTTTTTCTTTTTTTTTCGACGTGGGAAAGACACGCGGGAAGTTCTCCCAAACATGACAGTAAATTCTGATTAAATCTTAATAAACGCACTGACAAATTTCTAACAGCAACCACACTTGTAATTTTGACATAGACCGACACACACACACACATATATATATATATATATATATATATATATATATATATATTTATTGCAAAGAAAATATTTCAGACGTCAGGAATGAAAGATAGAAAAAAAAAAAAACAGGATAAAAAAAAAAAAAAACGAGCCACGGTATCACAAAATAATGCAAGAAAACGCAATACTTGAAATTTTCTGAAATGACGCCCACCAAAGAAATAAACTAAATACCTTTAGGTACCCCGTCCTGGGTATGACGATAAACTACGTCCAACAGTAAAGCTTCTGATCAGGAGGTTTTGAGAAACGTGGAACCACCACTTAATTGCTAACCAAGAATGGTAGCACCTGTTAGGTTCCCAGCTATAGGCAAATAGTTAACCCCCAAACTGAGGTCAACACACTATGAAAGTGTAAAAATAGGTTTTAATGTCAGAAATAAATAAAACATTATTACCAGCAATACATTTTTTAAAAAACAAAATATTACCAGCAATACGTTTTTGGAAAAAAATATATTACCAGCAATAAAAATCTTGTCGGCATTAAATAACCCATTGAGGTGTTAATATGCTGTAAAACAAAACAAATCAAGCCCATAAAATATCTTTCAGAAAAGCTTTTGAAAACTAAAAGTCTTTATGTTCAAATTTCACCCGGAAACCAGAAAAAGGGTCAGAACAGTAGAAAAATTACATTAAATAAAGAATGCATTTTAAAATAGAAATTACATTGGTCTTCAGAATTGTTGTCAATATCGACGTATGAGTATCCAGCAGTTCAGTTCCCAGGACGGAATAGCCAGACTACCCGCACATACGATTTGATTGTTGTGTTGAAGGCTTCAGCAGAACTGACCATTCTTTTTGGAAGAAAGAAATACAGGGAACTAGAGAAGCTTGTGTGCTACAAGACCGCCAAACAACTCTTCTGGGGTTTTGAATTCAGTTGAATTACTGCCACATCTGGTCTGGTGCTCCTGCTATATATTTAAAAATTCTTAATAAAACTCAAAGAAGACTCTGCACTGACAGTATCATTAGTGAAATTAAGAGTCTAGAAATAAAGTAAGTAAAAAACATGACTACTGACCTACTAGAAACCATTCTCTCCAACACTTACCTAAAAAGAAAATGGAAAATAAAGAAATGTTAAAAATGGAGAAAAAAATAAATTTAAGTTTTAAATATTTTTTAACTATTAAACAATTCGAAAAACTGAACAAAAAAAAAACATTCAAATACTTAAAAACATGAAAAATATTGAAATATTTATTTTAAAAAAACTTTACAAATACTTAGAAACTTAAAACAGACATGAAAAGCCAATGAAACATTTATGGAAAAAAGTATAAAATCGTTTACAAAACTTCAAAATACATTTAAAAAAATACTGAAACAATTATAAAAAAAAAAAACATTGAAAATATTTCAAGAACCTTTCATATATTTAAGTATTAAAAACGTTAAAAATTAAAACATTGAAAACATTTACTAATAGTTAAAAAAAAAAAAGTACAAAAAAAAAGAGTAAAATAAGATTTATAAGCAATGTCATATACCGGCTGTAACAAGCAAAATTGTCCAAATCGTGTAACAGCATAATTATCCATCCCACAAAATGTTTAATATATAAATAACCACTAATCTAATTGAGTTTTTTTTTTCTAGGTTTTCAAATAAGACGTTTAACCATCGTGATACCATTTGTCGTAAGAATCATTTAAAAAAAACACTGAGTTATTCATCTAAATGAGAGCAGGTTAAAATCGTTTTGTGTCAGATCGACTGTCTTTCCAATTGAGCAATGGTGAGAAGAAAAAGATAATTCAAATCTTCAGTAATGGTACCAACATTCACACTCTGGCCTTCATCTTCAAATCCATTAAAGGACTATCAAGAGAACGATGAATAAGTTAAAAAATGAGGGAACAGTAGAGAGGAAAACTGGATCAGGAGGTCACAACAGGGAAGTATTATCACTTCACCTTAGAGCTAAAGAGATCAATTAGAAAAGATCCAACTCAATCCATAGGATGTATGTCACACGAGAGGAATTTTTGCTATGACAGTCCAAAGAGAAGTGAAAAAAAGACTTGTTGCTCCAGGACAGAAAGTTAGAAGGTTAGAGAGGACGAAGACCATCTTGAATAAATTGGAAAATGATCATGGAATATATATATATATATATATATATATATATATATATAATATATATATATATAATATATATATAAATGAACTTTATTTCAATACTACATGGGCTTCCAATCCTTAGTTATGATTAATTAATGATGAACATGTCATTTTCGTTTATGATCGATTTTATCACGATTCTTCTGTTAAGCTTGGAGAGTAATTATACATTCTTATTGTTCAAAGTAGAGTCAAATAGTGTTATAATAAACCTCGGAGAATCCCAGTAAGATATCTTTAATCATTTCTAAGATACAACGGTTCAATGCTTGATCTAACAATTGGACAATTTTGCTGTTATTCCCGGTATGTCATTATATGAGAATGAACAATGTCATATATGACATGTCGTCATATGACAATGGACAATATTCATTCAGAAAAGAATTATATAACAATGTTTGAATTTAGTAAAATACATAAAAAATTAAAAAGTGTAAATGAAAGCTTATGATTTCAGGATTGAGATCGACGAAGGAGGCAGAGAGGGAGATGAAATAAAGATATACACAGGCTTACTGTCTTTATTTTTATCATTCCTTTACCCCCTTGAACTTATAAAATGGGTGCATTATTATTATTATTATTGATATTCTCTTTTAGATGCTTCAGCCCGGTAATTATAACATCTCAGTGCTTACCTATATCGCAGAGATAAAATTATTATCATTATGAGCGTGATACATACCGTAGGTAGGTAGGTAGGTACTATGGTATAATATAGACGGAATTATATTGGAATTTTACAATTGATTGCTATACCACACATTTTTGGCTATTGGATTCTTCGGCTTTCTTTTTCTTTATTGTACTCGGTAACTACCTCAGAATTTTGAACTGAACCTTCTCAGTCTAGAGCAGGTTTTCTCAACCGGTGTTCCCTGGTTTTCGCAAGAGGTCGATAGGGATTACACGAGAAACATTGCTAAATAGGCTAATGCAATTTTTTAGTAACTTTTGTTTAATTTTCTATTTCAAATTTGGAAAATCCTTGGTTATTTATGATATGATATAAATTATGCTATTCATTATTTATATTTATTTTTTATGTTTACAAAATTCTTTTGTGAGTGAAAACCTCAGTTTGAGATCTTATAAACAAGCAATATGTTTTGTTTTTGTTTTTTGCATTGCCAATAAATTAGACAAAAAACGGTGTAATTTTTTTTCCTTTATCCAGTTTCTTTCTTTTTCCAGTTATCCGAAAAAATATATTTTATATTTCCCTCGTGAACTACATTAAAATATAAACGAGATAGATATTGATAATGGTATATAATAATTTTTGTTCAGGGGTTCCTTGAAACATGTGAAGTATTTTAAGGGTGGCACAAGCCATGCCGGATTTAACATTGTGCTTAAGCACAGGGCTCCGTTGGCCAGTGTTTGGGGCATCTTCATTCCATGCCTGTGTAGGCATGCCGGGCCCACCTCCTTTATGGTCCAAGAAAGAGGCCTCATAACTTTACTAACACAGGGCCTCATTTGTCCTAAATCCTGCGCTTGACACAAGGGTAAAAAGGTTGAGTAAGGCTGATCTAGATAGATAGTTCTCATTCTGTTAGTCATACTTGGAGAACTTTAATCTCATCTATCCACTGACAATAGAACCTGCAACTTTTCAGTACGGCCAGATCCATATCGTAGATTAAAACAGATCTGCTTTCATGGAAGCCGTGGGATCAATCCTTGGGTCTGGTAGTGCTAAAAGATCACATGTTCTGGTTCAGTGTGAAAAAGTTAGGGTACAATAAACGAAGAAAGGATAGAAGGAATAGAAATGTAGAAAAAAGGATGAAAGGAATAGAAATGTAGAAAAAAGGATGAAAGGAATAGAAATGTAGAAAAAGGATGAAAGGAATAGAAATGTAGAAAAAAAGGATGAAAGGAATAGAAATGTAGAAAAAAAGGATGAAAGGAATAGAAATGTAGAAAAAGGATGAAAGGAATAGAAATGTAGAAAAAGGATGAAAGGAATAGAAATGTAGAAAAAGGATGAAAGGAATAGAAATGTGAAAAAAAGGATGAAAGGAATAGAAATGTAGAAAAAAGGATGAAAGGAATAGAAATGTAGAAAAAAGGATGAAAGGAATAGAAATGTAGAAAAAAGGATGAAAGGAATAGAAATGTAGAAAAAAGGATGAAAGGAATAGAAATGTAGAAAAAAGGATGAAAGGAATAGAAATGTAGAAAAAAGGATGAAAGGAATAGAAATGTAGAAAAAGGATGAAAGGAATAGAAATGTAGAAAAAGGATGAAAGGAATAGAAATGTAGAAAAAAGGATGAAAGGAATAGTAATGTAGAAAAAAGGATGAAAGGAATAGTAATGTAGAAAAAAGGATGAAAGGAATAGTAATGTAGAAAAAAGGATGAAAGGAAAAGTAATGAAAAAGGATGAAAGGAAAAGTAATGAAAAAAGGATGAAAGGAAAAGTAATGAAAAAAAGGATGAAAGGAAAAGTAATGAAAAAAAGGATGAAAGGAAAAGTAATGAAAAAAAGGATGAAAGGAAAAGTAATGAAAAAAAGGATGAAAGGAAAAAATAGAAAAAATATGGAGAAAGTTAAAAAGAAAGAAAGAAAAAAGCACTAGAAAAATAGAGAAAAAGAAAAGGGAGGGAAATGAAGAGGGAGAGAAAAAGATAAAGAAAGGAAAAAACTGAAGCAAAAGTAGAAAGGGTATAAAGAGAAAACATAAATAAAGAAATAACAGAAGAGAAAAAGAAAATAAGGGTAAAATATAGAAGAAAAATGAAGAGAATAAAGGAAAAAGCAAAGTAAGAGGAGGAAGCGAAAAGAGAAAGAAATCAGAAAATAGTACAAGAAAAAGGGAAGGCGGCAAGAACGAAGGAAGACATACGAAAAAAACAAAAAACAAAAGAAAGTGAAAGAAAATATAAATGCATCAAGAAAGCAAAGAAAAAAAAGAGAAAATAGAAAGAAAAGAAAGAAAAAAAGGAAAAATAAGAAATTAAGAACAAAAAGACAGAAAGAAAATTACTTTAAGTAAATACAAATGTAAGAGAAAATGAAGCAAACTGGAAGAAAAGCAAGAAAAAATTAAAAACCTAAATAGAAAAAAATAATTAAAAAGCCTAAATAAACGAAACAAAATAGCTTTCTGCCATGTTTAACTTACTATTTAAGCCATTATATCAGTTTTAATTTAAGGTCTTTTTCATTACATATGTTTTTGTCCGTCTTTACCTTACCCAAAGCAAAAGGATTTGTAAAAAGGGAATAAACGAAACAAGGAAAATGAGCGATTGGGAGATGAACGCGTGGAGGATTGCAGTGATGAGAATTATTTTCCAATCAAATTAAGAACGAGCAGAAAAGGAAAGACTGACAAAAGGAAAAAGGAAAGACGAAAAAAGAAAGAAAGAAAGAATGAAAGAAAGGAACGAAAGGCATAGCTCTGGCTCTCGTAGTGAGGTTGTATCTCTAATCCCTGGGCTGATAAACCTGGTGACCTTTTATATTTTAATTAACAAATGCTGACTCTCCTAAAATTGTCAATGTCAAGGTTGAATAAATAAATTTCTGATGGTGTTGGCCACTGGTTAAAAAAAAAAGAAGAAAAAAAATTGGCCCTATCATGTGCGTAAAGTGTCGGGTTTGGTTAGTTGAAGAGAGTATGTTAGTGCATTTGTAGTTGTTGAAGTGGATTGGGGTCGATACTTGGCTGGGAACCCCTCAGTTAAATCTAAATTGGCTAAATCTTTCATCTTCGCTCCGTAGTGGTGTTGTAAGTAAATACTTTATTGAGGTTTATTGGAGAACAGGGATTGAGTTCTCTTGGGTGAATTCTGATTGGTCGAAATTTGTGAGAGCCTGAAATTTACTCTATAGCAAATCTCAGATTATTTATATATATATATATATATATATATATATGTGTGTGTGTGTGTGTGTGTATATATATATATATATAAGAGTTGTGTCACTCGCGACAGGGGGTGTGGTGGGTAAGATAATTGTCAGGAATAATTTGAAAGATGCTATTTACCATCATTATTTTTGACGCCATTTTTTATTTTATTTTTTCTGTAGCTACCATTTTCTAGTTTGCACTAACGAGAAAAAGTGACCCACTCACTTTGCAAACTTTTAATTCGGAAAAAAAAATATAATAATAATAATAATAAAATAAAAAGGTCAGAATCATTCCTGTTAAAAAAAAATATCAACAACTCATGGAATGATCAAACTTTTCTTAAAATTGCAAAACGTTTCGTGTTGTGTCACGTTTATCGGTGAGCTGTGTTTAAATCCCTGTCGAATCTGTTGCCTCTAATCTTGGAAAAAGCATCATTTTTTTATCCCTGAGATATGGGTTCAATAGCAGCGTGGCAACAAGTCTAAAAGGATGACGACTCCGAATACAAAACTGTATCGAAGGCAACAAGAAAATTACTCCACTATTTTTCCGAGATTTCATGACAATTCATGCATATTTTTAAAGAAATCATGGAGAGCGACTATCGTCTACGACCAGTTAATACATATTTAAAAAAACAAAAAAACAGCAACAAAAAAACAAAAAAAAAAACAACATCCATATAGATTTTACACCCGATGAAGGTTGTAGAATATGTTGGTTGAAACATTGTTTCAACAATAATTATTACGGGGAATAATGTTTGGAAATGGTAATGACGCTTTTTAAAGGAGCGAAAAGTTTAATTAAAGATTAATTAATTTGCCAGTCGCCGGGACGAGATGAGCTCGTCTTCGCCAGTCGCCGGGACGAGATGAGCTCATCTTCGCCAAGACGGGTTAAGATATGATAGTGTTATTTTTTTCGCCAGATGGTAGCCTCTCCTTCTGCACCATAACAACCAGTGAATGTTAAAAATTTAATGTCTTGTGTGTCGAGCAATTATTACATTAAAATGAATTCATTACGTTCACAACAATACAAAGTGGGCGTAAGATATTGTCGGAGTTACCTCCTCCTTCTGTCCTTGAACCAGCAGAGGAACAGGTCTTTTCGACCTTGACCTCTCATTCATACTCCTCACACACTGTTAACACGTCAGAGGGACTAGCAAATCCCCTTTTTTTAGTTAGGCTATATTACAAACCTAGGTGTAATATACATCTAGTCATTTTTAGACCATAGTTATCTTTAGCTAACCTTGTAGTTTTTTTTTATAGAGACTTTTCGGTTAGCTTAGCCAATTTCTCTTGCTGGTCCCCTCGACACAAGACAGTGATTTCTCCAAGCTTTGGGGGGCTGTCGGCGGCCGCAACGGTCGTTCACACAGGCCCTTTGGCCTTCATTGGCCAAGGACGCCGATCTACGGGCCGTGTATTGGGTTACGCTCCCATTTCTTTTTGTCTGCCAACTTGACGATAGTTGGGAACTTTCTTTCTCTCTTCCTTCCCAACACGTCAAGTTGGCATCCAGGCAATGACAAACAACGAGTTGGCAACACGAACTACAGCAACAAGTTGGCACCCCTGGCTTCAACAACCAACAAAGATCATACTGGCATCACTCAACATCAACAACCACCAAGCGATCATCCTGGCATGGCATCACCAACATCAACAAACAACAACCAAGCGATCATCCTGGCAACAACCCACATCAGCTTCAACCCCAACAACGATGATCCCAGCAACTGCCAACCTCGACCATCAATGCTGCAGCATCCAAAGCATTTACCCTGCAGTATCCAGCACCCTGCAGCATCCGGCAGCATCCACTGCAGCTTGCAGTATCCAGCATCCTCCTGCAGCATCCGGCTCACTCCCGCAGTATCCAGCATCCAGCACCCACCGTATCCGACCATCCTTCATTGGCAGCATCCTTTTTCCTTTAGAATAAACCCTCTATATATCATATATATCCTCGTTCTGTCGTCCATATTGTTTCACGGTCAGATTTAACGTCTTCAAAAATGTTAGCGGGCCTCTTGTGACCTCGTTCACCCCTTTCCGTGATACGGGGCCACTGGACCGCCCGCTACAATATGGATGCATCTTCTATATGGATTTATTCAACCACTACAGCGGCGCTATCGTAAGGGAGCTGGAGACCCTACCAGGATTCTCAATCGGTGGGCATACTCTTAATCATATAAGATACGCAGATGACACTGTTGATGGCAGACTCAGAAATCAGGAGGAAATTACCCGAAAAGGTCGAAACGTGGTAAAAACAACAAAAGTGACGACATTAAACCCTATGAAAAATTTCTCAGAGTTCTAGGTACCTCCACGAAATCGCTAAAAAAAGAGCATAGCTTGATGAAAAAGACGCCAAACTTGCCGAAAACTAAATTTTATTGTCTAAATGCTTATGTTATTATTAAGAGGAAAGACCAAAGTTTTTTTTTAATTATTTTAAAAAATTTTCCTCTTTTTTAGAACATTCTAAATTTTGATTAAAAAACCTTTTTTTCTATTTGTATCAGCGGAACTAGTAAATAACATAGACAATTTTAGCACGTTTTTTTGGTATGACACACATTAATTTGAAAAATCGTGCAAAAAATAGAAATAATTATCGGATGTTAATGAAACTTTCAGAAACTATTCACAGATGATCGAAATTATTATAAATATGTTTTTTTATGAAAGTCATGGCAGAAATATTTTTTTTAAATATTTATTACCCCCCCCCCCCAAACTAATTTTATGAAAACGCTAGAAATTCGATCGCATCGGTTTTAGTGATTACAATAATTAAAAGCACAGGGCTTTGAGGAATACAAATCATGTTTTTTTTTGTTTTTAATTGGATACGCAGTACCTGAAAATCAGCTCTGAATTGTAACATACAAAACTCAATAAAACAAATATATTATTTAATTTCAAATGCTTTTATTTGCTTTTAGTTGTTTTTATGAATATGAACAATATTTTCTGAAAGCAAAAAAATTTTTTCGATGAAAAATGAATTTTTAATACAATTATTTGTTATTTCATTAATTATAATAGATTTTACATTTAAGTTGTTAAATTATTATAAAATTAGTTAAAAGCCGCATTGGCTTTCATAAGTGTCCTTATGAGATAGATCTTTTTTTAGCGCGTTGTAAATTGTATCATTTTGACTAATCAGAAGATACCCAGTAATTAAGAAATGTAATTTTGTGCTTATAATCGAGCTGTAATTATAAAATACGGAAGACCAACCAGAATATAATTAAGTTGCGTTATTTGAGTTAAGCATTGTTCTCCGCTGTTAAGGCCTTTACTTTTTTGCGAAACACGTGTGGAGAAGTTAATTTGATTTTTCAATTTCAACTGAGAAGGGTACCTACAAGTATCAATATCATCTTATGAAATTTATATGATCTTATTTTTTATATTAATCTCAGTTACGACATTTTTCCATAAATGAAATATCAAAATTAATAATAAAATGAATGCAAATACAAATAACAGTAGAATGTAATAAATGTACATAAAATTATAGTATTTTATGTACAATTCTGATAAATTTCATAAGAAAGGTACCTATAAATTAATTAGATACCTTTCTTAAATAATATGAAATTTAATGTCACTCTTAACAGTTTTATTTTAATTTCTTTACAATATATTTCCCATAAAGCATCATAAACGTAAAGGTGAAAGCTAAGTACAAAAAAAAAAAAAAAAAAAATTAGACCGCTCAAAGTTTTCGTTAAAAATAACGGGGTAAATAATTTGTTCACGTAAATGTAAATTATTTCACTTTTTCTCCTTCCGTAGAACAAATTAGCCTCATGGAATTCGTAAATATATCATTCATCACATGTCAAGAGACGCGAAAGTTTATGACCTGCTTTGTTTTATTTTCAAATTACATCTTTTTGGCACAAAAGCTAAGTTAAGTTTGGTTCAAAAATATTTTAAATAAACATTATAATTTCTGATTTTCTTAAAATAAGTTTTGAAAAAAATGATAATTGATATTTAAAAAAAATTTCAAAGTGAGATTTCCAGTTTTTTAAAATGGAAAAAATGGTCAATTTTGCTGACTCAAAAAAAACTAGATTTTTAACGAAAATTTCGGACGTGCTAGGAACGATTAAAAATGGAAAAAATACTCAAAAAATACTTTGACCTTTCCTCTTAATAATAACAAACATTTAGACGATAAAATTTTGTTTTCGTCAAGTTTGGCGTCTTTTTCATCATGCTATGCTCTTTTTTTAGCGATCTCGTAGAGGTACCTAAAACCTGTAGAAAAAGACAATATTTATGAATGTAAAAGACAATATTTATGAATGTAAAAGACAATATTTATGAATGTAAAAGACAATAGGAAAACTGTAATATTATCCAAATATTAATCTACGCCAAGGCTTTTTCCTTATTTCACCTTTACTAACAGAATTACTATTCTCCCAAACAAACGTACACATCAGTATCAAGAAATCAAAAGAAAATGGTTGAATCCGTCAACACAACAA